GTATGCGTGGGTGCGTATGTGTGCCTGGGTACGTACGTACGTTTGCATTTAGGTATGTGTATGTATTAGTGTTAATTTGTTGACCATGCAGAGAAATCTATACAAGTCTTAGAGAAATTCAGCGCCCAGCCATTTCAACATAAGGAGATTAACCTACCATCATATCGTCGCCAGTCGACCTCGCTCGGACTCTGGGGGATCCAGTCGGACGGAGACGCCATCTACGGGGTACAGCATATATATATATACATATATATTCATATATATTTGTATATATAAACATATATAAATATATATATATATATATATATATATATATATATATATATATACATATATATATATATATATATATATATATATATATATATATATATATATATATATATATATTTATATATGTACACATATATAAATATATATATACATATTCATGTATATATTCATATATGTATATATATATATATATATATATATATATATATATATATATATATATATATATATATATATATATATGAATGAGGAAAACACTCTACCGTGTTGATACTATGGTAGAAAAACCCACAATGTAAAAACTAGATTTATTGAAAATGAAAGTGAGACTACAGTTTCGGAATCCACCTGGATTCCATCCTCAGGTCTGAAGAGGAAAGGGAAAGGAAGGGGTATAAGAGGGAGAGAGGACAGGCAACGCGGAGACACGGGGCAGGTGAGGACAGACGGACGGAAGCGAAGGGAGGTCAGATCAGGTCGGAGGGTCGGGCGGGATGTGTGCAGGATGGCCGGCGTACGGGAGAAGGCGGAGGATGTGTGAAGCGAGGAGGCTGTCGGCGGGAGAAAAGCCGCTGTTCAAGTTAAAATTAGGCAGCAGCTTTATTAAGGAAGATTCTACCAGTCTGCGGGCGTGGACGTCAGCGGAGGGGAAGACAATTCGCGCCGCTGACCAGTCCATCTGATGGCCTGTGTCCCACTGATGGCAGAAGAGAGCGTTGTTGTTGTGTCCCCTGGATATAGCATACTTATGTTGAGACAAGCGCTTAGTGAGACTAGCGCCCGTCTCGCCAAAGTATTGCTTGTCACAGGAGCCACAAGGAACAGCATAGGTGCCCACCTTCGAAGAAGAGGAAGGGCTGGTGTGGACCAGGTTACGACGGAGAGTGTTCACCTGGCGAAAGACCAGCCTGCAATTGAGAGTGTGAAGAGGGCGGCGGAGAGAGTGGATCTCCTCCGTGTAGGGCAGGCTGAGGGTGGGCAGGAGAGGAGTCTCTTTAGGAGAGGACTCGTGGTAGAAGGTCCGCCGTGCTCTGGATAGCGCGGCGTCGAGGACATGACGAGGGTAGCCCAGTTTGGAGAACGAACGACGCAGAAAGTCGATCTCTCCATCCAGGTACTGAGGGTCACAGATGCGGAGGGCGCGGAGGAACAGCGACGTGGCAACACCTCTCTTTACATGAAGAGGATGATAAGAGAAGAAGTGTATATACATACCACTATGCATGGGCTTCCTGTATATGGAGAAGGAGAAGTGGTCAGCAGAGCGATGAACTAGGGTGTCCAGGAAGGGGAGCTTGTTGTCAGCCTCCCATTCCACCTTGAAACGGATGGAAGGGGAGAGAGAGTTCAGCTGGGTCAGGAAGTCCGAGAACAGGGCAGGGTCATGAGGCCAGAGAGCGAAGACGTCGTCAACATACCTCAGCCAAACCGTCGGACGAAGGGAGATGGAAGGGAGAAGCTCAGATTCGAAGAATTCCATAAACAGGTTAGCCAAGACCGGAGAGAGGGGAGAGCCCATAGCAACACCGAAGGTCTGGGAGTAGAAGCGACCCTCAAAGGAAAAGGAGTTCGATTCCACACACAGACGAATCAGCTGGAGGAAGACGTCGGTGGGTAGAGGGAGACGAGGATCCTCTGGGGGGAGGCTCCTCTCCAGGAAAGCGAGGACGTCATCTAGCGGGACCTTGGTGAACAGGGAGTCGACATCCAAGCTCATCATGGTCGCCGGCGGGGACACCCCGGACCCGGGAGATGAAGTCCTGGGAATGACGGAGGACGCTATATATGGAGAGAGAGAGGGACAGAGAGGGAGAGAGAGAGAGAGATGGAGAGAGAGAGGTAGAGAGAGAGTAGGGAGAGAGAGAGAGAGAGGAAGAGAGAGAGAGAGAGATAGAGAGAGAGAGGAGAGAGAGGAGAGAGAGAGATAAGAGGGAGAGAGAGAGAGAGAGATAGAGGAGGGAGAGAGAGAGAGATCGAGGAGAGAGAGAGAGAGAGAGAGAGGAGAGAAGAGAGAGAGAGGGGGAGATGGAGAGGAGAGAGATGAGAGAGAGAGAGCGAGAGAGAGAGAGAGACGAGAGAGAGAGAGAGAGAAGAGAGGAGCGGAGAGGGAGAGGGAGAGAGTAGAGAGAGAGAGAGAAGAAAAAGAGAGGAGAGAGAGAATAGAGAGAGAGGAGGGGAGGGAGAGAGAGGAGAGAGAGAGAGAGAGAAGAGACAGAGAGAGGAGAGAGAGAGAAAGAGGAGAGAGATAGAGAGAGAGAGAGAGAGAGAGAGAGAGAGACGAAGAGAGAGCAGAGGGAGAAGAGAGAGACGAGAGAGAGAGAGAGAGAGAGAGAGAGGAGCGAGAGAGAAGAGAGGAGAGAGTAGAGAAGAGAGAGGGAGGAGAGGAGAGAGAGAGCGAGATAGGAGAGAGAGAGGAGAGAGAGAGAGAGAGAGAGAGAGAGGAGAGAGGAGGGAGAGAGAGGAGAGAGACAGAGAGAGAGAGAGAGAGAGAGATAGAGAGAGAGCGAGAGGAAGTCTGAGATAGAGACAGAGATAGAGAAGAGAGAGAGAGAGAGAGGAGAGAGAGAGAGACATATATCCGAGAGAGAGACAGAGAGAGATTATGAGAGAAGAGAGAAGATAGGAGAGAGAGAGGAGATATACATAGGAGAAGAGAGACAGAGAGAAGAGAGAGAGAGATAGAGAGAGAGATATAGAACACTCAGAGAGAGAAGATGAGAGAGAGAGAAAGAGGAGAGAGAGGTAGATAGGTAGAGGGAGAGAGACGAGATAGACGACAAAAAAGGAGGGGGAGGGTCAAAAGATAGAGAGAAGGAGAGAGAGAGAAGAGAGGGAGAGAGAACAGAAGATGGATAGAGACAGAGAGAGAGAGAGGGAGTAGAGAGACAAGAGAGATAGAGATAGCAGAGTATAGAGAAGAGACAGAGACGAGAGAGAGAGAGAGAGCGAGAGGAAGATATAGAGAGAGATAGAGAGACATAGAGATAGATACATAGAGAGTCAGATGAGATAGATAGAGATAGAGAGAGAGTAGGAAATAGATGAGAGAGAGAGAGATGAGATAGAGAGATAGATAGGGATAGAGAAGAGATAGAGAGAGAGAACGATAGAGAGGGAGAGAGAAGATAGAGAAGAAGAGTATAGAGATAGGGAGATAGAGAGATATTGAGAGAGAGATAGAAAGAGCGATATAGAGATGACAAGAGATAGGGATAGAGGAGAGTAGAGAGGGAGTAGAGCGCGAGGTATAGAAGAGAGAGAGATATTATTATAGAGATATAGCTGGAAGGGATATATAGATATATAGAGATATAGTGTAGATATATAGATATATAGATAGGGTATAGAGAGATATTATAGGAGATAGAGATAGCTAGATAGATAGAGAGCGATTAGAAGAGAGAGAATATATGTTGATAGATGGAGATGGACTATGTATATAGAGGGATAGAGGGAGAGGGATGAGATGGTATAGAGGTAAGGAGATATAGAGTATATAGATAGAGATATCTAGATATCCTATACATAGAGATAGATAAGATATAGAGATAGAGAGAGTTATGAGAGAGAGAGAGAGATAGATAGAGATAGAGGATAGAGAGAGGGAGAGAGGTGATAGGTATGAGAGGTATAATGTCTATAGGGAGAGATATAGAGTAGATGAATAGATATATAGAGAGAGATAGAGGATACGATAGAGAGAGAGAGATGGAGAGATAGAAGAGATGAGAGAGAGAGATGATAGATGAGCTAAGAGAGAGAAGAGAGAGAGATAGAGATTGATATGATGATATATTTATAGTAGAGTAGAGGTAGATGTCGATAGTTTTATATATATATAAGATTAGATATATATAGTCTATATATATATAGGTAAGATATACTTACTAGATGGAGGATAGATAGGTAGATATATATAGTCTATTAGAGTTATAGTATAGATCATATATATATATAGATATAGATATAGAGATGTAGAGGTATATGTAGATATATATATACATGTATAATACTAGATATATATATATTATATATATAGAGATATTTATATATATAGATATATATAGATACATGAGATATATATCGATCTTAATATCGATTGTATATGTATAGGGTATATAGATATATAGTACATGTATAAGAGAGAGATAGATATAGATAGATATATATATATATATATATATATATATACATGTATAGAAGATATAAGATAGTATATATAATAATATATATAGGATTATATATATATATATATATACATGTATATATAATATATATATTGCTATATAGTATATAGATATTATATATTATATATATATATATACTATCATACACATTATATATACATATAATATATATATATATATTACCTGTGTATATATATCTAATAATATATATATAGATATAATATATATATATATTATAGATATATATATACATGTAGTATATATATATATATTATATATATATTATATAGAATATATATATATATATATAATATACATGGCTTATAATATATCTCATAGATTATCTATATATTTATATATATATATATATATATTATGATATATATACAAAAAAAACCATGTAATATATTATATATATATATATATATGATATATATAATATATATATATATATACATGTATATATATTATATATATGATATATATATATATATATATATATATATATCTATATATACACATATAATATATATATATATATATATAGTATACTATATATTATAATATTATATATATATATATACATGGTATATATAATTATATGATATAGTATATTATATATATATATATGATATATATCATGTATAATATATATATATATACTATATATACATCTATATTATATATATATGATATATATATATATATATATATATATATATATATAACACATGTTATATATATATAGATATATTATA